AGACCCCCCGGGAGAACCCAGCCCTCCAGGGGACACCCAGACTGGGGTAGGGGGGGAATCACCCCTCGGGGAGAGGGAGTATTGCCCCGGGGGGTGTTTAACCCTTTGGGGAGGGGGGCATCAACCCCCTGGGGGGGGAAATGTACCTCCTGGCTACCTTGGGGAGGGGGGCAGATCCCCCTCCCGCCGGGGGTGTTACTCCTCGATGCTGGGTGGGGGTATTAACCCCTGGGGGGGCCACCAAGGGTCGTTAACCCCCCCAAGGAGGAATTAACTGCGGGTGTACCACGAGGGGAGAACAGTAACCCCCGATGCGGGGCATTAACCGCCACGGGGGGTGGGGGGTGATTAACCCCTGGGGTGCCACAGGGGGGAGAAGGTTAACTGCCATAAGGGGCACATTGACCACCCCAAGGGGGGTTATTAAGCTCTGGGGTGACGGGAGGTGAGTGTTAACCCCGATGTGGGGGACATTAACCCTCAAAGAGGGAGGGCATTAACTCTTAAGGGGGGCAGAATTAACCCCCAAAGAGGGGGGGCATTAACCCCTAGGGGGTGCAGAATTAACCGACAAAGAAGGGGTGCGTTAACCCTCAACGGGGCGAAATCAACCCCTCAAAGAGGGGTGGAAACAACCCCTGAAGAGGGGTGGAATTAACCTCCAAAGAGGGGGGGCATTAACCCCAAAACAGAGGGGCAATAACCCCAAAGAGGGGGGGCCATTAACCCCTTGAATATCTTTCCTGTTGGCGGGCAGAATCCCACCAGAATCCCTGGGAACCCTGGGTGCTGGGGGGGGTGTGGGGGTGGGAGGGGGCAGTAACCATTTGGGGGGGGTTTAGCCTGGGGGGGGGGGGCCACCCGGGGGGGGGGGGGTGGTTTAACCTGTGAGAGGGGTTAACCCTGTGAAGGGGGTTAACCCTTTCCGTGCCGCATTCCCGCCTCCCTGCCCGGTACTTCCCCCCCCCCCCCCCCTCGGTGCTTCCCCCCTCCTTCCCCGGCCGTACCGTGTCGCGCTCGGCCCGGAGCTCCTCGATCTGCCGCTCCTTGGCCTGCAGCTGCTGCTGCTGCTGCTCGATCAGGTCCAGCTGGAGCAGCAGGATCTGCCGCAGGCAGGCGGCCTGCCCGGGCGACCCTCCGCCGGCGCCC